GTAAAATGATGTTATTGAGGAATTTTTCTCTGAATTCAAAATTTCTAGACGATTTCATTCACATTGCAACTTTATGCAAAATTAACACATTTGCTCTTTGTAAACTTGATTCACTTTTAAAACCTTTGGTCACCTCATTGCTTCGTTCTCCGCACTCTGCATAAAACTCCGAAAGAGTCAGATAGTCCTAAAATTCCAATAATTTATTAAGGTAAATGATCTGTCTCACCTCAAATCTTGGAATTGTTGATAATATCATCCGAAGCTACCTTATGGATAAAAATTATTGCCATGGCCATTCCACAAGGCATAAAGTGTTTATCGGTAGATTTTTCGCGGGTTTTTGGCTAAATCCTTAAGATGTTGAGTAGGCGACTCCATGAACTGCTGATAAAGCTTCAAACTTACGACAACATTTGCCTCCCTATTCATCAGCTTATGTAATACAAGTCTTCCCCAAAGCCTATGGGACGCAGAACTAACTTGGCAGCTCGCGAGGTCATATATAAATGTGTATTGAGAATTGAGCCGTCGGCAAGCTGTCTTTGCAGAACATTCGTGTTTTAGTGACTTGTTTTGTATATTCTTGCTTTTATGCTTACAATTATGCCAATAAATAAATAATACGTTATTCCTTTTGTTTCTTATGTACTAACTTTTTTTTTCTACAGAAAGAGAATTCTATAATTATATTTCGACGATTCCATTTATCTCCAAGTACATTTCTTCGTTAAAATAGTGTGAGCTGTGCCGTCTCATTTCATTTGGAAGCAAATAGGTAGGGTCCTTTGAGTTAGGCAAATGCTCTTCTCTTGCGCTTCTATCAGCACTTCATTCGAAAGAAAAGAATTCACAAGAGTTATTGTAATACTATCAGCAAGGCGGGCGAAAACTTCTTTAAACTTGATCTCTGAGAAAAAAAATATAGTCAGTTTGAGGATTTCAAGATAGCGTCTTCCTAAGGAAGGATGTTGTCAATTTAGATCTGATAACATGACTCCAAAATATTTGATTCGACATGCATGCATGGCACTTCCTTTGTCAGTATATTCTTCTTTATTTCCGGTGGTAGGCATGGCTTTTTTCAATTATTGGAGGAATCCTATATATTTACAAGTTTATATTGCTAACTGTGCTTATCCTGAAAATTCTCGATTAAATTTGCCAAGATAAATAACATATCCTAAAGCCAATATCACCCACATAACCTCGAAAAATGTCTTTTCTCCTAAAGCGGCTGCGGAAAGAATTTAAGAATTTGGCCAGAAGTTTGCATGGACAGACTCTCTTAATCTGCTGTACAGTATAAGGTTAGAATCTTTTAGGTTCGCCGGCAAATAGGTTTTGAAAATTTTGAAAAGTGATTCTTAAAAAGTGTGATTTAGTTAAATTTGTCATTGCCATAGATTTCTCATCAATCTATTGGAATACGACTCCAATCACATTTTGGCCAAATCTTGCTGGATTCTTTTCGATTGTAATGACCTTGAGGATCGTCGTCGTTGACTGAATGGGTATTTATTAACTATCATAATTGGTTCAGCGTTTAAAATAATCACTATTCTGCATTTTTTAAAGTATATTTGTACCAGCTAACGTTGTAGCAGCATACAATTATGCCGTGATGCTACCGTACGCTCGCAGTGTAGAGACCGTAAAAAAGTTCCTTTTATTTGAAGACCTAAGATTGTGCGAGTCCTTTTTGGAACCTAGGAAACATCTAGAAAAAGTGCTGTTAATGATTGAACGATGCCCAGTTTTTTGAGTCACCTTGTAATGTTGTGTCATTTTGAATTTGTGAAGAGGTAGGCTGTTCTACAGCTCAAGACCAAACATATCAAAATTTTGATGTGCCCAGACTTTGGCTGGAGAAGTTGATGCGCTGAAACACACAAAATCATCTCCTTTTTGCTTGAATGGCTTCTAAAATATACGGCAAGGGGTCGAAGCTACGAACTTATCTGAAACTTAGTTTAGGAAGGATTTAATGTGCTGATCACAAACATCTTGTGCGACCTAACTGTATCAGGGTATGTGGATATTTGGGACCAAGTCACAGATTTAAGGTTTTGTAGGATTATTTTACAAGCTCATCTCAAAAAATTGGAAAGTGTGTTCTTACTCTGAATGGCGTAAGCAGCGTAGACGTAACGTGTAAAAACTAATCCTTATATTGGAAACTTAGGATAAAATGGAAAAAAATTGATATTATTATCCTTAGTGAGCTCCACAGTAAGATGTAGTGAAGCGAAACTAGTACAATATTTGTATGAACGTCTTATATGACTCCCTTAGATCAGGCATTTAAATGACTTTAGCCAACTATCTATCTATCGTCTGTAGTGCGGATAGATACGATTTTTGCAGTCAGCAGTAAACACACTAGACTGATTTCTCGACGATATTGTGGTTTTGTTCACCACCTACTGTCCACCTAACCAAGTAAGCCTTACCAAACATTCGCAAACAGCATAACAATTTACCAAATTTTGTGCAAAATCTTGATTTCTTGAAAATCGCTATTGGAATAGTACAATTTCTTCCAAA